AATTATTGTGGCGATTAGCCAGCTTAAGAAGGGGGCAGAGAGAATAATGCTCTTAGCTAAGCTAATGCGTGATCAGATCGCCAGCCTTGAGAGGGCTAATGAGGTAGCAACAAAGCGTAGGTAGCGTAAAAGGAAGTGGATATAGAAGCATGGAGTGCTAACAAAGGGAGCTAGAGAGGATCTACTTGCTTAGCGTGAGGCTGGTTAGCAGATTGCTCATGAAGAGCGTCAGGGAGGAGAGCGATCAGGTGTCAGCCGCCAGGCTTTGGCGCGCTGCAGTAGGTGTAGAGAAACTGGCCACAACTCGCGTACGTGCAAGAAAGATACTCTAGGTACTGCTTAATCTATTATATTAATATACAGTAAAGCAACTATATTGTGGTGGAACTACAGGCTTATAGAGGTGCGCAGGTTTGGTGGGGTGCGGCGCTCGCTTGTACGCGGCGCTCGCTTGTAAAACACGTTAGTCAGGCCGCCTGACGAACCTCGGCTAGAACGATCACCAGCCGGTGCAGCTACATAGTATAGCTTGAATAACAGCTAAAGCTGTATCCCTCTTAGTGCCGCCATGGGCTATAGGAATGCTGATGATTTCTGTTTTTTTTTTCGCGAATCGAATTTGGGTATCACTTCTAGCAATACATGGATAAAGTTGAACAGGACAGGAATGCTTATATGATTCACTTTGCATATTGGAAACCGATTTCAACAAGCAGACTGCGTAATCATTCAAAATTAACTAAGAGGTAGTGACAGGATGCAGTTGCTCGCTACTGCTTGCATACGCTCAATATTACCATGAGCTGTCCACCACCTAGCCATCAATCGAGATGCATCTGGAGCATGTGCTAAATGCAGAGGAGAGGAAACCACCGCACCCAATGAATTCCCACCTCTTGAAATGCACCCTTCTGTCTGCGGGTAGAACACCCGCTGCTTCTTCCCTTACCATTTCCCTGTACGACAATACTTGGGACAGACACCAAGCTGTTGTCCCAGCTAACGTGCCCAAGCATGCTATGGGCTTTGTTAGAATGTAAATTGCATCAAAAACAATGGCTATGGAAACTCACAGATAGCCGTGCGGGCATCACACCAAAGCCTCAAACCCTTCTTCTGGGGCCCACCTTGGACAGGTAGGTTTGCCTGTCCTTCAATTTGTCAGCTGTCATGCTACTGTACAAGTCACACAACATATACTTACTTGCTTCAGCCGCATTGCTGACCTTGAACTGTTCCGGTGGCACGTTGAAATCAACTCGGACTCCTTCTTCCAAGGTAACGAATTCAATGTATCCATCCCGGACTGCGTCCATGACGGAATACGCTGGCAGTGAGGCATTCGACTCGGAATCAGGATCCCGGGGCATGGCTTGCAGGCCATATGCAGGAAGTACCTGCATAATAGCCATAAGGATAAAAAGGCTTTGGGTTGGAGTCTTCATTTTGAAGCAAGTTGATGAAGGTGTTGGGATGAGAAATTGACTGGAAACTACTGATGATAGATACTTTGGGATGGTTGCAAGAAGAGGTATTTATACTTATTTTGTAGACCTTGCCTTGCTGCAGGCTAAGGTTTTCTCTTTACTGATCATTCGCTTTGTGGGTGATATCGATGTGCCGACGCAGTGGCTTCCACAACGCACTGCTTGCCTTACCACACGTCAAGCTTGCCTTATCACACGACCATCTTGTCTTGATACAAAGCTAAGCTTGGAACAGACACAGAACCCAGAGTTTCATGAGGTTGAGCAATGAGTATCAAGTGAGAAAGCATATATCTCGTGTCACAATATGAGAACTGTAATTTGCATGGACCAGATGGATGTCGAACGAATGAACAATTACTGATCAATCAATGAACCGTTCCTTAAGGGGTCCCTCGGTCCATTCCACGGTTCAAGATACATAGAATAGACCCGTACGCCTCGCGTAAAGTCGATGAGTGTCCTTATACGATGCAATAGCCTACCAAGATTCAGAATCTTATCACCTGGTTGATTGCTTCCCAGAACCCCAGTTTCAGCTACAAGCATTAGCGGCAGAAATCGGTGCTTCTAACAACATATCCTACAACTGCCGGCCTGGATAATTGTCCTATCAAGCTCACTGATGTACCGATCACGTGTCCTGTGCGTGAGAAAAACTTTGCGTTTGAGGAGAGAATACAGGGGAAGACGATAAACTAATAATACTTCAAGACAGGGAAAATGAGCACCCCCACACTGGATTTGTAGCACGGGGGTCAGAGGTAGACGTGGTGGACATTGGTCGAGAGATGATCGACTATCAGGTATTCTAGATGAACCTTAAATACGAGTTAAAATACAGGACAATTAGGAAAGTTTAGGTTCTCGCTTAGAAGTAAGACTTACTTACCTTAATTAAATTAGAGACTAGTGATCTGACTCTACTTACGTCAGAAGCTGTTATCAATAGATACGCCACAAATAATATCTCTTTTTTTTCAGTAAGAAGTCCTGTAGCCGGTGCGTTTGATAACGTCTCTAGGGCACTGCGAAATAACATCGCGGATCAACACTGCGAAATAACAACTGCAATAGAATATAACAACAAGATTAGAACGCGTGATATTGTTAGAAATCTAGATCTACCCCTCTTTCATAAACAAACTAAGCTCTTGGTAGTAGCAGTGTTACAAAAGTAGAGTAGTGTTATAGGAGACCTTGTTTGTAGTGCAGGGGCCAGGAGTTCTCTCGCTAAACACGAACTCTTTTTGTACATAACATCCCTTCCCGTCTGACGCGAAGCCATGTAGGCCGAGACTGACCGGGGATAACACGAAGATAATCTATTGTTCGCCACAGGACTGTGTGTCATTGGCTCATTCTTGTCCTACAGGGCTTCGTGTGAAACAGGGAGGGATACGGTTTCCTTTATCGGCTGGTTCAACGAGCATCGCTATATACAGTATATCTTGATGGTACTACAAGATGGCCAAGTTGTTTTAAATGCTCCAAGTCTAAAATATCAAGCGCAATTGCGCTTTTGTAAGATATTGGTGGGAGACTTGAAGCTAAGCAAGTGGCGAGAGAAGAGTGGATGAAGAAAACCAGAATGTCTGGATTGCGGTCGAGGATGAAGAAATCAGGAGATGGAAATCCTAGCTCTTGAACCGTTGATACGAGATGGTGGACCGTGTATGACGTGAGACGCGGTGATAATGGAAGTGGGGCAAAATGCGGGGGCGGCTCGTCGTAGGGCTACCGACTGTAAAGCGAGAGCGAGACTCCAAGAATAGTTAGCCCTACTTTCTTCACGGACTACTGGCTTTTCCGCTCGACGACCATGATAGCTGCAATCCTGGCTATCCAAAGTGGGGTTCGGTCCGGCTCTAAACCTTTCTCTCGTGGATTAGATGACACTACATACCCCTGTACGTTCATTTTCACCTTGAGAGAAAAAACTGTACATATCAAAACTTGTACACATCAGAGGGAGAATGGTACATAGCAAAAAATGTATATAAGTCCTGCTCTTGAAAGCACTTTTCCTCACAGCTCATCACTAAGAATTCACTCTACTACTACAATCTATCAACTATCTTCACAGACCAACAAACTTCACCAAGAACTTCCAATATGCGTTCCACCTCCATCGTCACTGCTCTTGTGCTCACTTTGGGCGCTCAAGTGTAAGTGCCATTTCCAACTTGTCTTCTTCTTTTTCCCAGGGCTATCTGAAAGACATACTGATTTTGTGAACAGCGTCTCGGCCGCCAAACACGACTTCCTCATCTGTTGCCAGCGCAACCCTTCAACTGGTGTTTGGTCCCCTAACTTGGCTCTTACGGAACTTGTGTGCAAGGCCCTTTATCCAAATGATGTATGTAAAATTTTTGTTCTTCTACTGCTGCAAATCTGCTAATATCGCACAGGGCGAATACCGTCAAAATGCGTGCTATGGGGTTCACACTGAGCTCTATGGTGATGATTTTTGGACAAACTGCAGGAATGTTGGCAGCCAAGACCGTGGATGAATTGATATTAATGGTAAATCGCACCAAAAGCAAGATATAAAAAACCTTGGCTCAGGTTCAAAGCACACTTGTTAGAAGGGGGTCGGCAAGTAAAAACTGAGTAAAGGTGACGAGACCTTTGGAAGTTGTAGTAGGGTGACGGAGTAGATACAAATTGAGAATGGTGTTGTTTTTCTTACACTAGTACATGTTGGTGAATATGAGAGCTATGCTTTTGTGATTTTATCTTTTCACGCGAATCGAAATTGGGCATCACTTCTGAAAAAAACACATTACCAAAGTTGAACGGGATGCTATCCCCTATCGAGTTCACAAACAGAATGTGAGCGCTTTACTCAAAGGGATTGGTGTATTTTGAAGCTAGAACTGTTGTACGGAGGAGGTTGTTTTGGGTGTGCCCCTCCCTACGTAGGTGCACCGCTCTACTTACCGAATAACAATACCACAACGCAACAAAAGAAAGTTTAATATTCTTAATCCCTATAAGCTACAGCAATACCAACGTGTGTATTTCATGTTATTATTTCCTCGTTGGTATACGAGATGATAACGACAGTCTAAATAGGTGAGGGATAGGTGGGGACATAGTAAAACGAGCTCTTTGGTGATTTAACAAAGATATATGATGCTGGTATCACCAAAGCAATCACATTGTATTTTAGACAGTCTAGTTTGTCTGCTGAAAAGTATCGCTCTTCGCAAACATCAATGCTTTATATTACTGCCTGCTTATTGTGTCTAAGGTATAGGGTATTGTACCTTACCGCTGTTATATCCTGTGGACCCGGCTGCGTTATAAAAGTTGCTGCGTCAGCGCGTCGAAATCACTTATGAAATGAATACAAGATATGCCATGTAAGCATTCCTATCTAGCATCTCCAAAAGGCTGCCACCTATCAGAGAGAAGCTAGCCTAGCGGGAAAAAGAGAAGATGCGACGTGCTCTACTATGCGATATATAGAGAGCAGTGTTCTAAGATATCTCTCAATATGCTCAACGATACATTCTCTCAACCACTCGCATCTATTACCATCTTGAGCACAAGGGCCGATGACCAAAAGCCGGCCACGTCTCAGTCCAGCCAAATGAAGAAAAAACGGGAGCATGACACCAACACGCAAAGCGCAAGGAAGCTTACAATATGAAACCACCAAACTCCACACAATGCATTTCTCGTCTATCGAAGGGGGGGGGTATCAAATCTCAATCCATATCTTCCAAGTCGGCTCCTGGCGGCTTGGATACGTGCTCCTCACTCACCATGATGCCCACCATGCACTCACCCAGCATGTTCTCCCAGTTGACCCACGGATGCACTTCCATGAAGAGTTTTGTCCCGTCTTTGCCTGCGGCACGGCGCAGCTCACCCTCGCCGCCGGGGTGAAACGGCAAGTAGGGCGAGATATTGTATACTTTACCCTGGTAGCACGACCAGGCGGGCTTGCCCTTGCGACCATTCATCTGCTTCAGCAAGGCGGGCGTGACGCGAATCATCGAGTCGACGCCAGACAGGTTTTTGCCTGATTTCTGCAGGTGCGCCCAATCAAGCGGCGAGTGGCCTGGCGACAGGAGCACTTTGCCGCGTGGGTTTGGCGTCTTGGTGGCGGGACTGGCGCTCGGTGGCACTCCGAGCCCTCCGTTTGAGGTCGGTGGGCCCCGATTCGGAAGCGGTCCGCGGTTGGGAAGAGGGCCCGTGGTGGGTACGCGCATCGACTGCGAGGACGACGTGTTGGGGAGGGGGCGTAGACTCGAGGCGGCGACTTGTGGGGGTGGCATCAGAGACGCCGTGGGTTTGGGAGGCGGTGCCATGAGGGTCGGCTTGCTGGGTGGAGGCATGGCAGATTGGACAGGCGCTTGCGAGGCCCTTTGTGCAGAGTTGATGGCGGGAAACGACGGTGGTGGCAGGTTAACTTGTTCCTCATCTTCGTCGGAGTCGTCGTGCTCGTTGAGCGTGAAGGATGGCACAGGAGGTGCAGTATCGTCAGACTTGGGCACCGCTTTGGGCGTCGAATCTGGCGATGGGCTTCTGACAGTAGCATTAACCGTTTCATCGTTTAACGGCGATTCTCGCTGGTGGCATTCTCTTTCTGCCGAGGGGTCGTCCTTTTGGCTATCCTGCGACTGTTCAGGTATCGTGCGCGCTCCTGGCATCTGGAGACGGGTAATGAACGCAAGCCATATCGGCGGTGGGCGCTGGTAAACCAGGAAAGAGAGCGACAGGGCTAATATAGAGAGAGCGACAAGCATGTCTTTGGTGTAAGGAGCGAGAGGGAGCGAAGCCCAGGGGATTTGAAGTGCAGAAGCCGAGGCCAGGCTTTCATGCGCATCCAGGGTTCATAGGGCTGGACGCTAACCGTCGATGACTTCACGCGCCGCAATGCCGAGGGGCGTCGGAAACCACTCACGTCCAACCTTTTTTCTTCGTGTGGGCACAACGAACACAATTGCACCCAAAGACTACACCAGCATATACGCCGCCTCTACGCTCGCGTTTCAGCCAGGACGACTGGACATATTCGGAATTGGCCGATCCACGCAACGCGCGACTCCACAAACTCGCGCCTGCCCCACCACCCCTCCATCTGCCGCCATCGGAAGTTGCGACTCTGAGAGTCTACCAAACCAACGCGCTACACCAGACTCAACGACATGGTAGCTGAGCCGGCAAGCCTGCCTGAGGGCATGTTCTCCCTCCTGGACACCGACCTGTACAAGCTGACTATGCAATGCTGCATACTGAAGTTCTTCCCGGATGTCTCAGTCACGTATAGCTTCACAAACCGCACGCCAGACAAGAAGCTTAGTCGCGCCGCCTTCAATTGGCTACAAGCACAAGTAGATAGTTGGTAGAGGCGCTTCCGTGGCCACGCGTGTGCTAATGTTCGACAGAACTCGAAAATATTACAGTTTCCGACGACGAACTCAACTTCCTGAAGAACAATTGCCCTTATCTGAACGCGCAATACCTACAATTCCTCTCTATCTTCCGCCTCAAGCCCTCAAAACAGCTCAAGCTATCCTTCACACCCGTAAACGACACCGGCTCAGACAGCGACGTTGGCGGTTTCCACATCCACACTGAGGGTCTATGGCTCGACACGATCCTGTATGAGATTCCGCTACTGGCGCTTGTGAGCGAGGCATACTTCAAGTTTGTCGAGACAGACTGGAACCATGCGGGTCAAGTGGAAAAGGCCTACCACAAGGGGAAAGCGCTGTTGGAAGAAGGCTGCATCTTCTCAGAGTTTGGCTCGAGGAGGCGACGAGACTACCACACACAAGACTTGGTGCTGCAAGGGCTGCGCCGGGCGGCTGACGAGGGCGCCAAGCTAGGATGGGCGGGAAAGTTCTCAGGAACGAGCAATGTTCACTTTGCCATGAAGCACGGACTTGTCCCCATTGGCACTGTTGCGCACGAATGGTTCATGGGCGTGGCTGCTATCACGGACAACTACGAGAGCGCAAACGAAATTGCCCTAGAGTACTGGACAGCCACGTTCGGGGCAGGCGTGTTGAGCATCGCACTCACAGACACGTTTGGAACGCCAGCATTCCTCCGGGCCTTCAAGAAGCAGATTCCTCGCGTCACCACTGCTATCCTGGGAGGCGGAACGCTGGCGTCAGCCGGGAACACGACCAAAACCGACGCGGTGGAGACTATGGCCTCGACGAAGCCGCCCATTCAGGCACCGTACAGTGGAGACACGGGCTCGGATCAGACGTTTGCCCAAGTGTTTGCGGGCGTGCGCCAGGACTCTGGTGATCCTCTGGAGTTTATCAAGATGATGCGCGAGTTCTACGACGACGAGGGCATCAAGGACAAGAAGACGATTGTATTTTCCGACTCGCTGAACCTTGAGCTCTGCTTCAAGTACAAGAAGGCAGCCGAGGAGCAAGGCTTCCAGCCAACGTTTGGAGTGGGGACATTCTTGACAAGTATGTGTGCGGGATGTTGGGGAGGCTGCATGTGCATGACTGACCATGACAGACGATTTCGTCGAGACATCGAGCGGGAACAAGTCGGTGCCCTTGAATATTGTAATCAAGATTGCGTCTGCAGAGGGCCGTCACGCTGTCAAGATTAGTGACAACATTGGCAAGAACACGGGAGACCAAGCCACGGTGGACGAGGTCAAACGGCGACTCGGCTACCAGGAAAAGTCATGGGCTGGCGGCGACGAGCGAAGGCGGTGGGGCAACACGGACCAAGCCGCGAATTGACACGTGCAAGCTTGGTGAAGGTCGGGGAGCTTGCACTTGTGCTGTGGCTAGGCGGCGGGCCTAGCGGTGTGCTTGGCCTGGCGGCGCTGAGTGGCGGAGTCCGGTTCGCAAGCTGAGTGATGCATTCTGCAAGGCTGAGTCTAGTATACGTACTAGATGGACGAGAATGGGCACAAGCTGCGTAAGCCATGGCCGGCCAGCTCGATGGATCGAGAGCGTGGGCGGGGCGGGGCTGGTGGCGGCAGCTGGAAGGGGGGCCAAAAGCAGGCGATGGTGGAGTAGCGTAAGTAAGTAGTGTAGGACATGGATGTAGTTGCGAGGGGCGGAGAAAGATCAGCCCGCGCGTGTGGAAGAAGGGCAGCCGTTCCAGAAGCCGGTTCCAGTGGTGTAGTACTAACAGGCATGAGGAGCAACAGCAGCAGCTCCAGGATGCAGTGCAAGAGTGGTCGTCTCATAGGCGGGCGGTGCTGCACAAGCAATGGGAGCGTGTCGCTATGTATGGAAGGCGAGGGCAGCTGGGCGGCTTGCGGGCCAACCGTCGAAGAGGCGCCGCTCTTTTCGCTGACTAGCGGGGCGCCTGGCCCGAAGCAGCTAGCGCGCGCGCCTCCTGCATGCCAAGAGGCACCTTCGCGCTCAGCCCCAGGAAACACTCGCGGCCCTGAAGCGCATTTATCTTGGGCCATCAACCTTTGCCAGCGACCGATTCGAGCTCGAGCGCGTTTGACATCGCCCCCCCCCCCAACCCGCTTACATACTACTCGCACCGCCCTGCCCGCCGCCGTTTGAGCTTTGCTTTGCGCCACCGCACTTGGTTGTCTCAGAAGCACCCTCGTCGACACACAAGCCCACCCGGCCCCGTTTCAGAATGAGCGTAAGTCCTTTCTTTGGGTTATGACAGCGCGGCTCACCGCACTCTCCTCCAACAAACTCCTCACTACACCCGATAGCACCGCACCACTGCTGACCATGGCCGCTGCCGACGAACAGTACGGCAATAAAGGCTACGGCCAGATTGGATCCTATGGCGGCAACCCCTATGATGCGCGCGACTCCAGCCCTGCTGGCTACAACGACCGTATGTGCCTCTGCCAGCGACACGCATGCGGCGACACTCTAACCCCACCCAGGCGACCTAGAGATGCAGTCCTACTCCGGTGCCGGCGCCGACCCCAATGCCATTCTCAACGAATGCCGCGATGTCGACCGCGCCCTCGACGACCTAGATGCCCAGCTCAACAACCTGGATCGCGTCTTCAAACAATCCCTGGCTCGGCCAGACATGCCCTCGGGCGAAATCAACAACCTTAGCTCCCAGATCATGACGGGTTACCGCGCGCTTGTCACCCGTGTCAAAAACATCAAGTCGAAGCCTGACTCGGGTCACCCCAGAAATGCTCCCCAGGTCGGCAAGGTCGACCGCAGGCTCAAGGCCACCATCAACCGGTACCAGACACTCGAGTCGGACTTCCGGAGGGAGTCGCAGGCCGCTGCCGAGCGCCAATACCGCATCGTGCGCCCAGACGCTACCGATGAAGAGGTCCGCGAGGCTGTGGCAGACCCCGATGCCCCCATCTTCCAGCAGGCTGTACGTATTTCACTGCACACTCAGCGCTACGCCAAGTACCGCATGCTAACTTCAGGCAGCTCATGAACTCTGACCGCCGTGGCCAAGCCTCATCTACCCTGCGTAACGTCAAGGAGCGACACGAGGCCATTCAAAACATAGAACGTCAGATGGTGGAGCTCGCACAGCTGTTCCAGGACCTCGACCAGATTGTCCAGGAGCAAGAACCGCTTGTGGCCAACATTGAGCAAAAGGGCGAGGAGATCAACGACAACGTCAAGGCGGCCAACGTGGAGATTGACGGCGCCATTGAAAAGGCCCGTAGCCGAAACCGCAAGAAGTGGTGGTGTGTCCTGATTGCGCTCATCATCATCATTATTATCGTTGTTATTGCTGTCGTTGTCACACAAGTCAACAAGACCACGACGGGTGGTAAATAAACGACACGACTCTTGCCTGGATTGTCTTTTGGTTTGCAAAATGGCGTAGCACAAGCGCGCATACCACGACTATACCCATATCCACCGTCTACTTTCTATCCTCGTTGGTCTTTTATTCCCAAAAGGCTGGTCCCCCCCCATACACTATGTAATACGCCCTGTCGGTGGATATGCATACATGCACCCACTCTTCTGTCATCATCTATTCTCTTGGTTAGGAAAATTAGTCTGTTAGTGTTTCTTTCGTGGCGCGCAGCGGCGGCGTCGTCGTCGTCGGCTCTTAGCGGCTTGAGTCAGCTATTTGTGTTGTTGTTGTTTTCTTTTTCAGGTAGCGATGGCTGAATTGCATTGCAGGTTGCTTGATGGGTTTTTTTTGTAGAAAGTAGCCGCTGCGCTATCATTGAATTTAGAGGATTCCCACAAAGCACTTTGTCATGTTTACCCGACGTGAGAGGACCCCCGAATCCAACACGCCCTGACCGCAATTTCTACTCGGCACCAACAATCAATGTCAGTGGAGAGGTGGGCCGGAGGGTTTCCTCATATGACGTGCGGTAATATACGCGTGTGCGACGCTAAATTTACAAGTAATCTAAATGGCACAAGGTCCGGCCTCGCAATCCGACGAAAGCAACCGCCAGGTCAAGTTGAACCAAGCAGAAACACTGGACTACCAAGTCATTTAATGTGGAAACAAGCACACGAAATAAGCACAGCACTATGCCCCAAATGCCACGGAGGATGAAGCTTGGCCATGGATTCCAAGGAGCATAAATATCTACTCGCCTGGCGGGTTTCCTGATGCCCCATCCGTTCAGTGTCGCACACATACAACAAACAATGTTTCGCGAAACCGCTCTCTTTGTCCTTGCCCTTGCGGGGCCCGCCCTTGCCCAAGTGACGGAGGGCTTCGAGAATGGATGGGACCAGACTGCATGGCCGGTGTACGCCACCGACTGCAACCAAGGCGGCAAAGTCACCTTGGACTCGTCGACAGCACATACGGGCAAGAACTCGATCCGTGTCGATGGTGCAGGCGGTTTCTGCGGCCATATCTTTGTTGGTACAAGCAAGGTACCCAGTGGCGATGTCTATGTGAGGACCTACATGTAAGTATATTTCGTCGTACCTTTTCTTTTCCTTTCTTTTTCTCAAAGCAATGAAGCCAAATGCTAACTCTTTTGTTTTGACAGGAAAGCAAGCAAGGCTCTCACCGATTCGCACGTAACCTTCATCACCATGCCCGACTCGGCTCAAGGAACCAACAAGCACCTGCGCATCGGAGGCCAGTCCAAGATCCTCATGTACAACCGCGAAACGGATGATGCTACGCTTCCTGACCTGTCGCCCAACGGCATCGCGTCGTCGAAGCCGCTGCCTACCAACGCATGGACATGCTTCGAGTACCACCTGGGTGCCGACGGCAGCATCGAGACGTGGCTGAACAACGTGACGGTTGCTGGGTTGACGGTTGGCAACGGCGCGCAGAACCCCAACTCGCAGGGATGGAGCCGGAGTTCTGTGAAGCCCAAGATCACCGGAGTAAGTTCTGCCCGTTTGAGTGTTTTGTTTTTTTGTTCCAGACATTTTTTTCTTTTCATGTGCTAATGCTCGAGGAACAGGTATACTTTGGATGGGAAAGCTACGGCGGCGACACCAACACCATCTGGTATGACGATATTGTGGTTAGCAACAAGAAGATTGGATGCTAGAGGACCGGGTCAGCATGGTTGGATGGGTGCATGTTAGCCAGCAGATTTAGGTTTGGTGAATCAACAAGCGACTTTGGCGTTTTATACATGACTGAAGTCCCGCCCGCCCGTGTTGCGTCCATGTCGTTTGTGGCTTTCAGGTGAATTGTCTCTCCAGACATCAGGTGCTGTGCTTGGCCCAATGGGTGGTTGTAGGCAGACGTCATATGTCCTACATAGATTAATCCTAAGCGCGTTTCGCTATGGGTGAAGCTAGTCGAGCGTGCTAGATATGGTTTGCATGGAGCCTGCCGGGCCGATAGGTTTCCATGCTGCTGGTCTCGCGCCTGAGATGGCATGCGCTATAGGCACGATGAAGTAGGGGGGGACTATGCACTCTGACGTTAGCCTTTAGCCACGTGCAAAACACATCGAGCAGCGCAGACATGCCAGCCCAATGCTCGCGCTCGTGATGGAACAAATCCAACCCACGCCCGCGATGCGCCAGCGGAACGAGCTTGGCGACGATTTAGGGTCAAAATCCACGGGATTCACACCCTCGAGAATACCAGCCTGTGGCGGCGCCTTGGGACGCGCCGAAGCCACGGCGGTGGCCAAAGGCAGGATGGACGACATTGTCTTGCTGCCAAACCAACAATCTTTCTCTGGTTCCAAGAGCCGTTGTGGGTGTTGGTGTTAGTTTAGTTATGGAGATGTACCCCAGACCTTCTAGGCCCTAACCCCACAAAAAAAAAGCAGCCTAGAAGATGAACCAAAAGGAAGCCAGGTGGGGATAGAAAGAAAGGTAGAGAGGGAGAGAGGGCGATAAGCACAAAGGCTCAAGTGTGGCGAAGAGAGCAAAAGCCAATTTACCCAGCGAGCACACGAGGCAAAGTCAGCATGCGGGCTCGGGGGCCGTTAAAAACGATGGATGGGCCCCCTCCCCGCATTGCAGGGAAGGTGAAGGAAAGGGAACAAAGCCCAGGCCTAAGCCCACCAAGGTTCTGGGCATCTGGGTGAGCATGTTTTCCGGTGGACTTTCCACCCCACGATGCCGTGCGTATCATATCACGCAGGGCATTCTCTCACGCGCAGCACCAGGGGGGGTTGGGTGGTGGACCGATTGCCAAGACCAGAAAAAGAAGAGGCAAGCCGCGGAGGCAGAGAGGCCTAGCCAGATGGGCTGCGGTTGATGCTGTCCAAGGGCGGGAAGCGCATGTGCACGCGGGAGGCTATGTGGGCGCCATGCCGTGTTGTTCTAGCTGCCAATGCTGTGTGGAGTAGGTATCGCGCCCATGTGAGAAGGCCGCGTGCTGGGAGACGCCGAGAGGCTTATTGGCATCGCGCTCACCGCCTGCGCATGAGCTGAGATGCACGTCGAGAGAAGCCGGGGCGTGGCGTATCGACGAGTGGGCGCGTGGTGCTGCATTTTGCGCCAAGTTGGGCGTGTCGTCAGCGTCCAAGGTTCCCACGGGGATGCGCTGCGCGATGTTGCTGCAGAGAAATGGAAACATCGACGATATGCCAGGCTCATCGTCGCCGCCAAGGTGTATGCAGCGGCCCTTTTCTCTCCCCCCAGGCGAGGAGGCGGATGCTCAGGTGACGTCGATGTTGTGATAAGATCGCTGCGGCATTTGGACGCAGCGGGAAGGCATTTGTCGGCCAAAAGGCTTGGGTGCGCCGTGCAACCCATCCCATTACCTTGTTTATCGTTCAGGTACGTTTCACACGACCCAGTTTTTGTGCTTCAATTCAAATATTCCCCGTCGATAAGATCACTGCACATTTCCTACCATCTTATGGCCCATCTTGAGCGGATATCAAACATGATTGCATTTCCTTTCCGCTGATCCATCTCAAATTCCGCAAACACACACAATGCTAACATGCTTTTCTTTACCCGTAGGCCGGTATCATCATCATCTTCTGCCGCTTACTCAACTACCCGCTCTCCGCCATCCGCCAACCACGCGTCATTTCCGAAATCATCGGAGGCATCGTTCTCGGGCCCTCGGTCATGGGCCGCATTCCAGGCTTCCAGGAATCAATCTTTCCCGCCGAATCCATGTCAAATCTCAATCTAGCGGCAAATATCGGACTTACCCTGTTCCTCTTCATCATTGGCCTCGAAGTCGATCTCAGGTTTTTGCTCGGCAACTGGAAACCCGCCCTCATTGTCGGAATAGCGAGTATGGCCATTCCGTTTGGACTCGGTGCTGCTATTGCTGTGGGACTGTACAATGAGTTTAGGCATGAGCATGGCATGGTCGAAATTGATTTTTCCGTTTATATGCTGTTTATCGGTGTTGCCATGGCGATTACGGTGAGTCTGGAGCAGCACAATGAACCTGGTGGTGTTGGGACTGTTTCGCTGACTTGGCAATAGGCGTTTCCGGTGCTTTGTCGTATCCTTACCGAGCTGAAACTGCTCATGACGCCCGTCGGTGTCATTGTCCTGGCAGCTGGTGTCGGCAACGACGTTGTTGGTAAGTGTTTGCGGGAAAACACGGCATGCAGAGTCTCAAGACTGACTGTTTTCCAGGATGGATTCTCCTCGCTCTCTGCGTCGCCCTCGTCAACGCTGGCTCAGGACTAACAGCACTCTGGGTCCTACTGACTTGTGCAGGATACATGCTCTTCCTTGTCTTCATTGTCCGCCCAATCTTCGTCTATGTCCTGCGCCGATCTCGCGCGCTTCAAGATGGACCCAGTCAGGGTATCATTAGTCTTACTCTGCTCATCGCTCTCGGCTCGGCCTTCTTCACCGGCATCATTGGCGTCCACCCCATTTTCGGAGCTTTCATGGCCGGTCTCATTTGTCCGCACGAAGGCGGTTTTGCCATCAAGGTTGCCGAGAAGATTGAGGATTTGATCGGTGCGCTGTTCCTGCCTTTGTACTTTACTCTCTCCGGTCTAAACACAAACATCGGCCTCCTGGACTCCGGAATCGTGTGGGCCTATGTCGTTGGCGTCGTGGCCGTGGCTTTCTTCTCCAAGTTCCTGAGTGCGGCGATTGCGGCGAGGGGCAGCAAGATGCTGTGGCGAGAATGCTTCGCGGTGGGATCTTTGATGAGTTGCAAGGGTCTGGTCGAGCTCATCGTATTGGTAGGGATATCCTTTTCTCCTGGATATGTGAAAGAGGAGCACTAACAATAATCACAGAACATTGGTCTCGATGCAAAGATCCTCAGTACCCGAACCTTTACCATCTTCGTCGTCATGGCTCTCGTGACTACGTTTGCCTCGTCTCCACTGGCAATGTACTTTTACCCCCCATGGTACCAGAAGAAGGTCGAGGCGTGGCGTCGCGGTGAAATCGACTGGGACACGGGCAAGCCCTTGGAAGACTCGGAAAGCAGCAGCACCGACGTTGTGCAGTACGAAAAGATGGCGGCAGAGAAGATTGAAAGGATGACCGTGTACCTGCGCCTTGACAGCATGCCCAACCTCCTGGCCTTTACCTCTCTGTTTGGCGGAACCACGGATATCCCAGCCCCCAAGACGCACCCATCCAAAGAAGTCAGCCACGGCACGAGCAAAGAGATTGGCGAGATCACCATGACGGAAACTACTGCACTGGCACGCCCCGTGGAAGCCTACGGCTTACGTCTGCTCAACCTGACAGACCGTGGGTCCTCGGTCATGCAGGTCTCGGAGCTGGAATCCTACACGGCGCACGACCCGGTCGTCAACACGTTCCGCACATTTGGCCGGCTGCACAACCTCGCCGTCAGCGGCGAAGTGCTCGTGGTGCCCGAAGCCTCGTTTGCTGAGACGCTGGCTACACGCGCGTCCGACTCGCAGTTCCTAGTGCTGCCGTGGAGCGAGACAGGCGGCATGTCGGAACAAGCCATTATCCAGGACAAGGGCACCAAGAACAAGCTCCAGGCCTCGAGCTACAATGCCTTTGTACACCAGACACTCGAGCACGCTACCATTCCCGTCGCCGTGCTCATCAACAAGAACTTTGGCGGCTCCAAGAACAAGGAGCAGCGCGCACATCAGCAGCAGCGCCTCAAACTCACCCGCACTTATAGTAACGTCAGTCTACGCAGTACGAGAGACAAGCCGGTTACCGCGCCCATTGCAGACAAGAGCCACCATGTATTCTTCCCCTTTTTCGGCGGCTACGACGACAGGACGGCCCTGCGCCTCGTGCTGCAGCTAGCCAAGAACCCGCAGGTCACGGCCACAGTGGTGCATTTCGACCTGGTAGCCTCTGTTTGGGCCTCGCTGCCTTCCAGCGCTGCTGCTGCTGCTGCTGCTGCCATGTCGACGCCGGCATCACGCGAGCAGGACGCAGCCTTCTTCGCGGCGCTTGGTGCCTCGCTTCCTGCGGACCTGGCCAACCGCGTCGTCTTCGAGACGGTGTCGTCGACGGCGCCCGTCGCCGATGTCATTGCCCGCGCGAGCATCGAGGTGGGCCAGTCGCCGCGCAACGCCGGAGACCTGGTTGTGCTGGGCCGCAACGTGGCCATGAACGGCGTCCTGGACAGGCCAGACAGCTCGGATGAGATCAAGGGCTCGTCGAGCGCAGCCGACACGCTGGGCGTGCTTGCGGAGCGCGTGTGGCAAGGCAAGCTGGGAGCTAGCGTGCTCATTGTCAAGGCGGGCGTCTAGGTCTAGGTAAAGTGATGAAAGGGCGTCATGCAACTGCAACCATGGTGTTTCGGGTTACGGTACACATATGCGGACTGGCTGGGTGAGTTTTGGCAAAGGGAAGGGAAGGGGCGTCGGCGTCATAAGCGTTGGGAGCTTTTTTTTTTCTTTGTAGCTTTCTTGGATGGCTTTGGGGATTATATGAACGGGCCATGGATACATGGCAAATGTATGGGCATTTGATCCAACCAGGCACAGCCGAGGCCGTGTATCAGACTATGCACATTTGTTATTAAGAACCCCACCCGGCGAACCATAAGAGCCTTGGGTTGCACACGCCCTTTCCTCCAACCCCCCCGTAGTAATCTAAAGGGATTGACGACAGGGAGTTCCTCGTTGCTGGATGTTTCAGACCAGCCCGGTCCGACACGGGGTTGGGCGTGTTCTTCTTGGTTCCTGGGCGAGGCATTGATGCGGCTACTTTGCCGTCAGCGAAATGGGCAAAGCGGGTATGCCCCGAGATGCGAATGGAGCGCTTTTTGCGGTACTGATGCCTCGTCCAGAGGGGGACTGTGCCCAAAGTAGCCTGGTTCCATGTATGTACTACTACCGACTTTTCTGCCATGATGCTGGTGGTACGTAATGTGTGCATGCTACTTGGCGTAGACAAAATAGAGTTTTTTTGTTTCGACTCCAGTCACATGATGTATTGGGGGGGGCTTCGTACGCAACACATGTTCTCAACATCCAGGTACCCTGTCGGGCTTGGTAGTGGTGGTACGTGGTCGAGGCGACATTGGTGGGTCCGCGACTGCGCCAGGTCTACGTCAGCTTTCCCCGGTCGTGCTGGCTGGCTTGGGATGCGGCGTATATTGTACGAGTCGGCAGCGGGCCATTCGTGGACACGATGAACTCTGACCAGAGCGGCACCTGTACCATACGCGATGCTGCTGCTGCTAATGATGCTGATGATGGTCAAGTAGCTGATTAGGGTACACTATAATGCCTAGATTTTGCACCGATGGCTGGCCACAGGCTGCGTGGACAAGGCCGACGTATGAGGGAAAGGCTGACTACCGTGCATTTCTGGCGTCGACCGGAGCAGACCGGAGTGGACGTAGGGGGTTTCTTTTCTTTTTTATAGTGACGTTAAGAATGAGCAAAAAAGATGGGGTCCAAGGTGGTTGTGGAGCAGGACCATTGCCAAGGGGTGCAGGAGTTCCGGCCATGGTACAGGGACCATCGTGGGCTGGCGGTGTTGGTGTGCTGTGCGTATATGCATGCGAGATTTGATAGCAGTCGGGCCAGATGGGTCGGGGTGATGATGGGGTGAGGCGGGTGTGTCTGTGTGTTGTTTGGCGGGCGGGCGGGCGAGTGATGTTCGCATCAAGGTGCTAGTACGCCCAGCAGTGCGAGTGTGAAAGCGAGAATGCGGTGATGGGGTGCTCGGCCTTACAAAAGAGCAGTGGTGGGAGAGGTGGTGATGGAAAGAAGAGGGTCGTGTGCGTGGAGGGGGTCCAATGACGAGGGCAGCAAAGGCTTTGTCAGGCACGTCGTAATCGGGTTATGACTTGCAGTCGATCGCAACAGGCACGCCACCGATAGGCGCCGTGCCGCACATGCGCCTCACCAAGGAAGCGGGAGTCTTGGCGCGAGCGAGATGCGAGCAGGACACGAGCGAGGGCGCGATGCAGCGCCTGAGGGGTGAGGGCAGTACTGCACGTCTATGGCGCGAGCAAAGAGGCTCACGATGGCCGTCAGCAAGGTTAAGGGTGTTGTGGGCGGCGGGCGGGCCATTGGTGCAAAAGTCTCATGTTCAACGGCGGGGGAGCCTCGGTGGCAGACGGACGCGTGGCTAGCGAACGCCTCGCTAAGCGTGGCAGATTCGCACTACAGCTTGCGCAATCTTTGGTGAACCACTTTGCCCTCGCGATTCGCGTGGCTTGGCAGTCAGCGTCGCAAGCACCACCACCACCACCGCGCCCACACGCCCACGCCCACGCCCACGCCCACGGCCCTTTGCTCTCGTCTCGTTTCGAGCCCCCCCGCCAAGCTGCCGCTGCGCAGTCGAGAAGCCACACAAGCTTTGCTGGCCAATATTGCCAGTCGCCGCTTTCGTCGTCCGCCCCCCGTCACCTGCCCAACCATGCCTCGACACATTACGTGATGGCCGCCAACCACCACACACACGCCCTCGCCCTCGCCCTCGCCCCCAAGACACGCCTGCGCCTATGCCTACGCTTTGCTCCGCTGAAGCTTTTCCGCCCGCCCGCCCCCCGCCGCCGCCGCCACGAGCTGCACCACCAGCTACCGCCAAAACGAAAACAACAAAAAAAAACAGAGTCCCCTGTCTGCTCGGCTTCCGCTTTGCCTGCCCGTGCTGCCTCTGCGGCACGCCTGAATGGTGGAGACGTTGATCTTGGACCGCCCCCTGCGCTGCGTCGCCCCCGGCTGCGCAGGCCATGGACAGGTGTGACGGCGTGCGTGTGCGTGTGCGTGTGCGTGGGCCGCCGCCAGCAGACTCCCGCCGGCGTGCAACCAAGCACAGTATGCTGCTGTGCCCAAAGAGTCGAGCGCGGCGGGCGTGGAGACGCGGCGGGCGTGCGGGAGCGGGCGCTGCTCTGGTTATGGGGCATGGCGGCCATGGCCTGGCGGCGTATGCGTGTGCGTGTGCGTGTGCGTGTGCAGGCACAGGCGACGCTCGCTCACGGCCTGTCGGTGTTGTGCGTTCTAGACATGAGGAAGCCGCGACAGGGCCGCGTCAACCCGCCCGCATGCGGTAAGCGCGAGTCGTCGTCGTCTTGCCCCGTCCCTCAATCAATTACCCTCGTCCGCACCTAACGTCCAACGCAGCGACACCACGACTTATCGACGACGACACTGCGTCCCTCCCGCGCTGCCCAGCCGCCTGCACTCCTCCCCCC